CCATTTCAAATATTTTCTGATGTAGAAATGTCCTAATGGCTTTGTTTGAGGACTTATACGGGCAGTGACATAAACACACAATTGATATCTCGATAATTTGCAATGCGTATTTGAATGATTATCGCTGTTTAAACAGTAATTCAAAAATATCAAATTTAAAAAACGAAACGTAATTATGATATTTGAATAACTTATCACTCTTTTAAATTTGCTTCAAGCATGAAAATATCAATAAAACAGGAAACACCACAAACCTTATATTCGTACAAAGAAGTGTATATATGACAAACATAACACAGCAAGTCAGAACGTTTTTGGTATACTAAACAGCTAAAAGAAAGCCATCTCGAATTTTGATATCTTTGGGTTAAAAGTAAAAAGATGATCAATGGGAATTAAATTAAAGGCTTGTGTAGAAATCATGACACTAAAGACATTTTTGTAAAAAGCAAACAAGAAAAATTTGCCGTTGTCTATATGCATGTCTTAATGCATACTGTAAAAAGTTATTAAGGTCTCATATTTGATTTTCGAATTTTGAGAGGATTTAATCCCTTATCGCAAAACATAAAAAAATATGCCAGCTGTAAAATGATTTCTATTTGGTACGTATTATGTTTTTTTTTTAATTTGTTTTTTATTAACAATAAAACAGTGATTTTCAAAATAAAAATAAAAAAAAGAGATCATTGTTTCGGATGTTCAGTATACATACAAGCTACAAACCCGAGATACTTCGTCGCGGCTCGTTCTTTTCTTAAGAACTCAGATGAAAAGAATCAATACAAACATAAAAGATTTAAATGGACTAGATATGCATATACATTATTTCTGTGACATTGCAATAGGACTGCAAATATAATTTAATTATTTGACCTAAATATCTACATATGTGGAAAGTTATTGGTTAGATACATAGTTTTACCTGTGAATGTATTAAATATTGAATTTTCAACACAATATACATATGTACAGTGATTGAAAGTGTTGGTTACGGAAAGAAGGACAGTATATGGGGCGGAGCAGAAGAATTAAACTGTGTTGGAGTAGAATCCATCTTTATAATTTCTTTTCCACGTTTTATACATTCTATTTCAAAGCATTTGCATGTATATACTTTAGGTATTCCAATGGAGCTGGTTAAGAAATATCTGTATCCGTATCCGATTACTTTTACTTTTAATTTTTGTGATTAATAGATATACAAATAATAAAAAAAAGCCTTTCAGCGGTAAATAAGTCATTATATTCTGTGAGGTTATCATCCGTTCAAAAGTCAGAATTGCGACCATGGTCAAGGTTTTCTGCTTAAAATTTTCTTGATAAAATTTTGGTGACGTTTATCTCGCCAATATGAAGGATATACTCAGTTTGCCGGATCATATGTATCTGTCACACTTTTGAAAAATTTAGAAGTGTTAAAGAGTTTTCAACTTAAAAAGTATCCCTTTTGAGATCATGTAATACCAACTTCTAAGGAATTACACATTATTTCTATATAATTAAGATTTCATAATTTGAACAGTTACGTTTAGCATATCTTTGATATATTTCAACTTACCTCTTTTTAACTCACTTATCTACAGACATTCCCCAATGCTCTGCTTAAAAGAGAGAGAAGATACCAGGGGCAATATGAAATAAGTAAAAACAGGGAAAACCCCCACAAAAACGACACGTGACGAAAAGACAACCTACAGTCGATAAAACAATACAACGAAAGGAAAAAGAAAAATGATATTTGTATATTGTGTCAAATGTACAAAGACCTTTTATTTGAATACATAAAACAAAATACGTCACATACAAAACCGATGTTCATTTCATTGAAAGAATGAAAATACAAAAAAATCAAACATAAATTGTTTTGCTGCATGTTCACAATTTATCCTCGTTGATATATATATATATATAAATCATGTTGCAAACATGCATACCATACATATTCTGTCTTGATTATGACACTACGAAAAGCAAAACGTAGAAAAAGAAGCATGTTCTTTGTTTTAAATGGTTTGTTATTCATATGCAATGCCTGACATCATTTGATAAACATTTTCAGCCAAGAATATTTGTAGCTGGCTATAATTTAATTTTCATAACAATTGGTTAAGAAGTATATTTAAAGTGCTGGGTAAATTATAAGGTTTTGGTCATGCATATACACAGTGCCGCTTTATAAACAAGTAGTTTGCAGCTGTCCTAAGTCAGGAACCTGTTGTTCAGTGGTTGTCGTTTGTTGATGTGGTTCATAAGTGTTTCTCGTTTCTCGTTTTTTTATATCGAATAGACCGTTTGTTTTCCTGTTTTGCAGTAGTCATTTTTGGGGCCCTTTATAGCTTGCTGTCAATTAAGATCTATTCTATATTCAAACTGTTCAGAAGTTGTTATTTACCTGTTGAGATCAACAACATACTGAATTGACTGCAAATCTACCGAACAGTTCTAGATTGACTGCAAGCGGATTGTCTGATTAGTACTGAATCAACTGGAGTCAATTAATCTAAAATTTACCAAAAGACTGAACTTGACTCAACACGTAATTGTTCAGACTTGTCAGATGATGTTAAGATCAAATGACCGTTTCAGACTAAAATTCGTTTACTAGTGACATACATGTAAGTTTGATAAGGTCAACTTTGCTTGATAGAGTTAAAACCTTTCGTTCTTGTATATTTATCAACGATGAATTTGTGTAAGGTATGTCAAAATCATGTCAATACCGAATCACATACTACTGGAGTCTAGAGTCCTTTTATGCACTTTTGAGAAGTGCAACAATACACAGTTAAACGGTGTACTATCCGAAATCAAAATTGCATTGAAAATTAGTTATATACATATATAAACATGGGTTGAACATTCTACTCTTTATAAGATAAACTTTTAAAGATGTTTGCAAGAAAGCAATATAAAACATCATCAAAGTTACCTTGCTTATTATTTGGTACACTAGACACACGTTTCGTCTACATACTAATCATTATAAGTGCTAAAAATAGAACAGACTACTAGGATGGTGATAACCTCCGACAGCAGTGGCATCTACCCTACCAAATGGTTGTAAAAACTTATGAAAGATAGCAAGCTTTTACGTTGGTACGCTTTCGCATTTTTCGTCATCATCAGACTCGTCAGTTGCGATGGAATTGTTTACAGAAAATAGCACATTTTGCACTGATGTAGTTGAATAGGTTTTCAATGAAATTCTGATCGGAAAAGAGATCTTTACTGGCTAAAGTTATCAATTAATTTGAAATAATAAAAAAAAACGTCAGAAGAGCAAATAAATGAAAATAAAAAGGCCGTATTCACCAGTCATCGTTAACTGAATAGCTAGAACATTGATCTTTATTTTTATAAAATGTCCATCAAAACAATACAAATTCAAGTGTTGTTCTACTTTGGTCTGTAAAGATCTAAAGATATGGTAGACACTAGTATTGTAGTATTAAGTTCCCTCATGATGTCTTTTCTGGTTTTTTTATGCTGCTAGGTTCCTTGCTTGTATACTTTTCTTCTTTCGTTAATATATATGTAGTTTTTTTGTTATTGATTAATGGAAGAGTTTAAAACAACGAACAATTAGTCTAAAAAGACACATTATCATGATTACTGTGTTTGATAGAACGTCTTGAAACTTAAACTCACATTAAAGTCACGAAGTATCTTTAGTCCGTGTTTGATTGACATATCTAATTGAAGATCAATTACAAAACAGATGTACTTACAAAATTACAATAGACTATTTGACATGTTACCAGGTAAAGGATTGTTTCTGTGTTATAACTTTATTTGATTAAATGAATAATGAAAAAGTGAAGTCAATAGCTTACACAAAAATCTGAAGTTTTTTAAGTATGAGGTTGGGTTGCTGTGCATATACGTAAACTAAAATTTTTCTGAAATTCATATAAATTTCATTAAATGTAAATTGTTATTGCATACTCAAATGTTTACGAAACACGCATTATTGATTTCATATCAAGGTATAAATACAATCACCTTAATCAGTCACAAGGATTTGTAATTGCATGACCAACATGACAGGTGACACATCAACTGCTTACCATTCAGTGGCACCTGAGTTCACTACGATTTGTGGTGGGGTTCTTTTTGCTTAATATATAGTTTGCGATGTAGTGCTCTGTTGACGTGTTCATCTTTTCGTGGTTTTTTGTATTTTTTTGCCATGGCGTTGTCAGTTTTTCTTCGCCTATTTTTTTAAGTAAAAAATCCTTTTTTTTTTAATTCATCTTCTAAATACGTTCGTTATAACATTAAACAATATATTTACCATGTTGAATCGATATATGCAGACTACAAACATAAAATGAAAAAAACAAAATTCTTGATGAACCTTCCCAGCGGCTTGTGCAGTATTTTTCGTTAGTAAATGTCTTGTTCGCCAATCTTTTTTTAAAGAGAATACAAATAATAACAATCCAATAATAAGATAAAAAGGTGGGAATCGCATGAACTCCAATACGATTATGACCAGGTTCGTCTTCAGAGTTAATGAATATGACACTTAATAATTTTAAAAAGTCCGAAGCGCTTTTCTAGATTACCTTCATACGGAATGCTCATCTCCAAAACTTTTGAAAGTCGGGGATTTATACGAAACAAAAGAAGCTTTAGGTAAGTGTTTCCTGCCATACATGCATTACCCACAATGCTAATCCACACTCATTCCAAATCTCATAATCGGGAATAGAACACAATCAGTTAACCGTTACACATCAAATGGACACTTAATAAGTTTAACCGTTACAAGTCAAATGGACGACACAAAGATTACAAAAATATATTTTATATTCATATTTGCCTATGTAGACTAATGAAAAAGAAATATCATCGCTGAGTTTCTTGATAATCATCGGATCACGTGTGCATTGGGTTATACTTGGTTTACGGATTTCTTCCGTCAATCTTAATTCAACTGATTAAAAAGGAACGAACGACCCTGTCAGAGTTTTCATGACTTTGAAAAGAAATCAAAAGACGTAACTTTTTTTAATCGAAATCAAAATACAAAAATGTGACGGACATAATAAATGAGTTACTTAGATAAAAACAGACGATTGTTACTGAAAGCAACCAATATCAAAATTAGTACTTTTCTTTTTCAAAAGTAAAAAGAGGAACGATGTATATCTGATTTTTGTTTAATTATTTGCCCAGCTAAAGTGAGAATGACAAATGTTAGTAAAAGTTTGACGAATGAGGTTCATGTATGTGTTTGAAATCGAACTGACATATTTTTTTTTTGTATATTATCCAGGATAATAACATGTTAGTGCTTTGTATTATAACTATTTACATTCTGAATTGGATTATGAACGTGTTGGAACTTCGGTAGGTAGCTGTCCTCGGGACGCATGTTCTCACTAAGTGGACAAAAATAATTACCCTTTTGAAAAAAAAAAAAAAATGTTTAATACGAATGCCAAAACAACGAAGTAATATGCGACAATTCGTTCCTCCAATGTTAAAACATTATAAAAAGTGTGTGTAGAAGAATATCTGTCTGCTCAAGATGACGTAATTTGATGGTGACTTATCGAATTCAAGTTATTTACATATAGCTGCTTAATTGCCGGAAATGTCAAGATAAACTTTCAAACAGTCAAGTAACTCATTAATGACTACCATTTTAGTTTTCGACGGAATGCTTTGTTTTTGTTTGTTTTTTGTTGTTGTTTTTTTTTTGACAGAGTGTTGTCTGTTTTTATTTTGTTGATTTGTTTACTTATTAGTATTGATGGCCCCTTGATATCTTCTTTTTTTAACCTAAATCATGTGTCTCACAATCCTGTGTCTCAAAATCATGTGTCTCGAAATCATGTGTCTCAAAATCATGTGTCTCGAAATCATGTGTCTAGAAATCATGTGTGTCGAAATCATATGTCTCGAAATCATGTGTCTCGAAAAGAGACGAGTATTACATGACATTTAAAATGGAATATTCTTGTATTCACTTCAGCATAAATAGTCAAATCCGGACGATTTGTACACATTAAAGTATAGATATTCAAAAGAAAGATAATGACAGTAATAATAATAATTATGATAATAATAATAATATGACAAACTTTTCCTTAGATGATATATATTTCATTTAACAATAAGAAACGTTAAAAACATAAGCAAACTGGGTTTCATTTGCTACTAACAGCTGCTTCCTCACTTTGTCAAAGACAATTCCGTTCGGCCTATCAAAACCATCTTCCTTGTTCAGTATCTGTTTACAATGTTTTCCATCAGGAGATATGACAACCACATTACATGAATCCTCTCCAACAACAAAAACGTTCCCGTTGTTGTCTATGGTAATTCCTCGCGGACTATTTAAAACACTTTCATCTGTGAACTCCCACACTTGTGCGCCACTGTATAAACAGCAAGTTACTTTGTTTTTAATCGGATTTGTAAAGAAAATCATGTCAGCATGCGTTGAAACGTATAAATACCAACATGATGCGGTATTAGGGATAGTACTGATACTGTAGTCTGTACAAGATATCATATGTAAGTCTTTGTTTGAAACACAGCAGATCAATGATTTACCGTCATAAGTAATTCCATATGCATTATTAGGTAATTCAATGAACTTTACTACCTTTCTTTTGGTCTGATCAACAATACTGATACCAGGTTTCTTAATTGAATATCCAGTGGATAAAGCTATTGTAGAGTCATCTAAGGACGCTACATCATACGCACAGCATGGTTCTTTAAGACGGATGGTATATTCAACTTCACCTTCGACATTAATTGCTATTACTTTTCCATTTTTATTTACGTAATCTGTAAACAGAAAGTCACCCTTTTTTGTAACGCAGCATCAAGTAGGGTATTTAGAAGCTGTGTCCAGTTTTCGTTTAAATACAAGTTTTACATCGTTAATCAATACTTCCTCTGTGTGGATCATCATTTGGGCTTGTCTGTCTTTTCTTCTATTTAGATTAATGTCAGTAGACGGACTTTTCTTGATTTTAATGGAACCAAATTTATCAACCATCAGAATATCCTGTATCTTAGTATTGATTGCACTGGTAATGTTGATGTTATCGTGATTTCTTTTTTCAATACTAGACTGAAGATGCTTTTCGAATTCAGTGGTTTTCGTCTGAATTTCCCTCATACGTAGGAATGCTTGCAGATCTGATGCGTATTTCTTCGTGCTCTGGATTTCTGACTTGATCTGATTTATTTCCCTTGCTTTATCTTGCAGCGAAGACACAATCAAATGAATCGGGTCGCAGCAATCAAATTCAATTTGGTCAAGTTCTTTTATGAACTCCTCTTCCAGGTTATTGACATGTTGGATGACTTGCTTTTTTAAGTAACAAACTTGTGCAGTTATTTTCTTCTTTTGATCTGATATACTTTCTATATTCGACTCTCTGTCTTTACGAATTAGATTGACATTAGCAAAAAGGTCGTCAATGCTCTGCTCTAGGTCAATGAAGGACTCTGTAGTTTTGATGTCCTTTACTATCTCATCCAGTGAAAGTATTTCCCCACATTTCCCATGATCCTTTAAGCACTTGTTGCATATTGGACTCTCGTGCGTAATACAGTACAGTTGATACATCTCATTGTGATACACGCAATGCTGCTTGATGTCGGTTACAACGGATGGTAATAATTGGTAATCTGAGATAGAAATAGTTTTGTGATTTCTTGTTACCTTTAAAACGTTGTGATATTTTTTACAGTCAGCACACAATGGTTCTGCACACTCAATACACCAGTGAGTTGATTGTGTAGGTTGGTGTTGAAGATTGCATACCGCGCACACTGATGTACTTGTAGCCATTGACGATGCCACTGTCAAAATAAAATTCAAAACTATATTATAAATTTGTATTTGTTTAATATTACAAAACAATAGTCATATTTGAACTTTACTAACAAACTCAATTAATATATTAAAGTTGTTATAATTTTGTTACAATTGATCGATGACCATAACATGATTATAACACTTAATAAATTTCGTGCTTTCGAAGCGTTTTTCAGAATTTAACTGAACTAGGAACGCTCGAACTCAAAAATATAAAAAAAGTTAAATTCTGTAACACGTCAGGATCCCTGTAACCAAATCAGATCGTGAAATAAAAGTCAAATCAAACTAAGGTCAACTTTGCCTTATAGAGTAAGAACTTTATTTTTTAATTATTCTTTAATCAACAGAGATCTTTTTTTCAGTGCACACTTTTGATCAGTTAAATGAAAAAAAAAATATCTTTATCTACGGAATTTATCGACACGATATTCATATTTTATATTTAGCTATGCAATAATATATGACAACATATAAAGATACTTTTGGGAAAGTTTTGTTAAAATGGCATAAAGAACAAAGGAGCATAAGTACTGTAAAATTAACAACCGGTCCATTAATATAGTGAAAAAATGATGGAATTCATTATTGATTATTTAAACCCAAAATAATGTTGGAACTATAAAAGATAGTCTTGATGCATAAACGATAGTATATGAAGTTTTTTTTATGTTTTTATGTGAATATGTTAATCAGTACAAGAGCAATAGCATATTGAGAACTTGTGTCCCCCTTTTTATAAAACAAGACAAACAATGAAATATATAGCAGACTTGACTAAATCCGATTTGAAAACCGATAAATATATATACCTAGACAGCTTCCTTTGTAGCTTAATATCTCTGTGAATCGTGTTTGTTTGTAATTCACAAACACACACATATATATAAGTCTAGTTATATATTACACTAACACAAGACATCAATATGCACGTCCATTTGAAAAGATAACGGCATACTAAGAAAAAATATGTGGATGTCATGGTATGTAATACTTCCGATACAAATATTCGATACAAAAAATATCTCCAGTTGGTTTGAAAGCGCACCAACCGCGTCAAGGTTCAAGACCACTGGCAGGTTTGTTTGGTTTTGGTTTGTTTTGTTTTTTAGAGAAAGGGAGAGAGAAAGAGAGAGAGATAGAGAGAGAGAGAGAGAGAGAGAGAGAGAGAGAGAGAGAGAGAGAGAGAGAGAGAGAGAGAGAGAGAGAGAGAGCGAGAGAGAGAGTTCCCCAACCACACCAAGTCGGAGGTCATTAACAGCGGAAAACGTAATATTGGGAAATTGAGATTAATATTTCAATCATCATCCTTATCGTAGCAATCTTCTTAACAATCTGATGAGTAAGCTGTTTTCTACAATCGCCACTGCCCTAACAACAACCAATGCTGGTGCACGACAAATTATGATCGTAGCATACGCAAGATTTGCTACAAATAGTTTTGCCTTTACATGTACAAACAAGGTCCTGTAAAAAGTCAGAGGACATTGGATTCAAAATACTAGTATACTGAAACTATGGAGCTATTCCCAATATCTTTATTCCAGAGGTGACCTAAGTGGTGGTTTGGCGATATAAGCATTCATCCAGACGCTCGAAGAATGTGCTGTCTGAATGATGCATCTGAAGGATGTAGTCTTACTAAGTAAGCACCCTTAGAAAGCGCCGACTTCACTCTTGAGTTTATTCAGATCACCATGTACTGATTGAGCATTGCTTCTGGGTTCATATAGATCCGCGATGAATTGACTTTTCGCTGCAACAGATGTGTCAATATTAGAACCACCTAGATTGACAAATTTTGAGACATGCATGGGTTATGTTTCGACACCTTAAAATTGTCTTTTTTGCCAATTCCGATTAAAGAAGACGTGTTGCATCCTGTAAGAGCGTGCGCAGCTGGTAGTGTGTCAGACATCAGTGGTCCAATAACTAAAAACAAAATTGCATATGTCGTCAACAGGTAAAAACCGTCTTGCGTCTTTGGTTGAAGAAACGCTTCCAGTCTGAAACAACAATTCATCATGTTTGACATCTGAGGAAAATACCTTATTAGAAATAAAACATAAGTGTCTGATGATTTTAATATAATGCGACCCCTGGAATAACTTTTTATCATCTGTTCATTAGCAAACAGAGACGGCAGAATATTTCGTACATATGCCTCTTCAGCCACTTACAGATCCGGCACAAAATTGCTTCACATTCTATAGATTTTGAAAAAATCCCGCTAGGAATATTTCGTCATGGTCTTGCAAATCAAAATCATTGTAGTGCGGGAGTGCATAGTCACCTACAAATTTTACCAATCCCTATTTTCGGGTTCACAAAGAAGTTTCTGACAATCTCTAATTGATCTGCCTTCAATGACTAGACGAACCTTAGACCTTTCACCATTTGAAATAGACCTCCTTATTCTTTCTGCTGATTTTGTAGAATGTTACACATCATATCGATCAAACACGTCCACGACACATCCGAAGTTTTCAAAACAAGCTATATGGGTTTTAAAGGCGTCCTTGGCCAAATTTTCTAAACTATTGTACCTTTTTACATAAAGACTTTGTAAAATACCCATACTATCTCTAATCAGGGGTGTACTGGTTTTTAATTTAGGAATATCACACACCCAGCTAAAGGTATACATTTCCGTACAGTACCATATGAGAGTGCATTGTAATCATTATCCATATGAAAATAATTGTCATCTACTAACCAGGCAAAAATATTTATCGGAGATGTGGGAATAAATTGTAAGGCTGTTGGAATACTTAATTTTGACGGAAATAGATAGAAATAATTTTAAATTTCGAACGATCGTAAACTGCTTTTCACAATTTTTTCCGCATCATGAAGAGTCTGGAAGAAAGGTACACAATATGTATCTAGCATTTTATACGACAACGAAAATGCTTGTTTTTCACAAACAGATCATCATGTAGACTTTCTGTTAGTTTTTGGAAAGCAACATCATGCTCCGACTGATTTGAAGCATCAGAAGCAAGTTATTTGTTTCTTCATTTTAGACAGTAGTTAACAATGCATGCTGAATGATGCAGCGCCTTTGAATCTATGGAGAGTAAACTGACCACTGGATAGTCTGGCTGGTAATTTGTGTCATTTAAAACATAATTGGCAAGCCCAAATGACTCGAAATGCCTTAATTGCTTATCTCGTTGTATGCATTTTGTCTGTTTTGTCTGCAGAATTAAACCTAATCCAAATGTATCAACATTTATTCTTTTTGTACATGAATAGGCTTTGTAACGCAACCTAAGCTACTTTACTTGTTCTTATTTAATGGAATTAGCACTACCCATCATTTTTCGGATTAGTTCGGATGTGTTCCAATGTGGTTCAATATTAGTCTTTTCAAAAAACTCAACAAGAATAAATATACGTCAAAAGTTATTAAACCTTATCATCTGTACTTATTCAAACATCTAGATACAAACGTTGATACAAATCTATATTCTCATTAACAAAAATTAAGAAAATGCATATTTAGTTCATTGTGAAAAACACAGCAATTCATAAGTCATGGGAAAATAAGAAAAGGGGGCGCAACATGACTTATTGAGGTGAATATTGAATGAGTATTATAAAAAGGCTTGTAAAAGTTGATTTGTATGTTCTATCAAAATTTGATATACTTAAACTTCTTAAGCATGGATTGTTCCACTATTTTTTGTCAAAATCGACTACGGGTGATGTATGTAAGAAATTTACTATACTTTGACAAACGGTAAGATTGACAAAAATGTCACATGCAATTGAAATTCTTCAAATTCACTCTATGTGTATTTTCATATGATATTTAATTTTGATATTAAATGAAATCTGACACATTACTCTTTCATTTCATAGAAAATAGTTGCTGATATCTTCATTCAGGAATTATAAGCGTTCCCGTGTTTGATAATGAAAAGAAAAAAAAAACCGGAAAATCACGCTTTACCGCGATTTTACAAAAAAAAGGCACCGTAGGAAAACTCTACGACAGGGCTAAAATGATAATATAATGTTTACTCTATCATCATGTAGATTTTCGGCCGTGAGGTATATCGATACATTAATTTCTTAAAATAAGCGACTTTTTCTTGATTTGTTACTCTACTATGATCTAAGATACCCTATTTAGGTTCAGTATTTTCAGAGAAGGTCTTTGAAAAACTTTTCAAAAACGACGACGGACGATGACGACGACGGACGCCAAGTGATGGCAATGTGAGCTAATAAGTTTAATAAATTATAAATGCGTGATTATCTGCCCTTTCTACTGCATCGTATCCCTTTAATCGATGCGTTCATACCATATGTTTTGATTTTCGGAGGGTTGATTGAGCATAAGATTTAAAAATTTAATAAAATGAATTATCTTGCCTCGTAAGAACTGGAAGTAAACATCCTTGTTCAGAGAGGATGAAAATGAATATTCTGTCCAATAAAATGTCGGAAATAATGTGCTTTAAATTCAAAGCAAATAACACCAATAAGCCGGTCAAGCAAAAGGTAAAAGTGACTCTTCCTTTAAGAAATAATCCTGCTATCTCCCAACCCCATAGAAATCGAACGAGTGTCCCCTGAATACAGCACATTAACATAAAAGTAAAAAAAAAAATGTCACAAACCTTCAATGTGTACAAGGAAGGTAATCTATGAAAATTATCACATGACTGTGTAAATATACTGAACAGTTAAATTAACGTTACTTGTCTGCATTTCACCAAAAATCTTACAAAAAACTGATCGTACATCCTAAGCAATTCAGTAAACTTAATATAAGTTTAAGTTGTAAGATATTTTGTGAAACGCAGACCAGCACCTGAAATGCTTGAATGATCCAATTCAAACGTGTAAAATTAATGATTGTCTTATTCAAAAATATCGGTTAAAGAAAATTTCCTCAGAAGCGTGTTTCAACTCTTATCAATAACATTTCCACCCCGAAATGAAACAAATTTGAAATGCTGGGGAAAAATTGTATTGTTGATGATAGTGTTTTATACATAGTGCTGAAATGCTCATTGTTAAAATATACATTTATCTCCTATTTGACTTTTGCACAACACACACAGACACACAACAAGAAGAAGAACAACAACAATGTAACCGGTCGAAACAGATGCTCGTAACAAGAGGAGAATCAGCATTCAGATGGCTGAAATACCGAAAATCCCTTAAACAAAACAATCAGATTTTGTGCAATGAATAGTTTGAGACATTCTTGTCGTTCTAAAGAATTTCTTTATTAATCCGAATTGTCTGTAATAAACCGTTTTACAGATTTGAATGTTTTTATGTGAAAAGTGCTTACAAATTTTTTACCAGAAAATAAACAAAACGAAATGGGAAAAATCGTTTTAGTTTTTAAGATACGAGCTGTTGAAATTGTAAGCTGGACTAGCTTCACATAAATAGAAAGATAAAGATGTATGATAAGAGTAATGTTTCTGTAGTTAAATTATAGTTCAAGCATTTTATTTTGATTTCACTCTGAATGGTATTTTATGAATGTAAAGAAACTTCTGTAAAATGTTCCTGAAATTTCATAAGGATGTGAAAACGGGTGTTTGAATTGTTTTACACTAGTCAGTTTGGAGCCCTTTATAGCTTGCTGTTCGGTTTGAGCCAAGGCTCTGTGTTGAAGGCCGTACTTTGACCTATAATTGTTAACTCTTTATACATTGTGGCTTGGATGGAGAGTTGTCTCATGGGCACTCATACCACATCTTCTTATTTATATTATATCTTTTTTAACTTTTACCCTTGACTCATCTTAATTTCCACTTCAAAGATATAAATCCATTTATCATTTAAATACGGAAAAATAAGAAAAACATGTTCAAATGCTTTTTCTTTATTATGAAGAAAACAGGATATGATATACTTTTACATCATTTTTATCCGGAACAGAAAAGATTAACAACAGCTAAAGTTGTGCTAGACATTAAGTACATCTCTTAGATAATGAAATATTTTCATTTCAAATACATCATCATATGACTTGATTTGATCTTTTGAAAAAAGTATGTCAAAAAAAATAATCATAGATACCAGGATTAAAATTGTGTACGCTAAACGCGCGTTTCGTCTACATAAAACTTGTCAGTGACGCTCGAATCAAAAAAGTTATAAAGGCCAAATAAAGCACATTGAAATTGATGCATAGGTCAAATAAGCACGGATGTTCTACACAAAGCAGTTGCATATGTTTATTTATTGTTATATTCTATTCAAAGATCGGATGTAATAGACTAGTGCGAGCGTCTTTCCATCCCTCGTGTATCATTTGAATAAAGGAAAACGTTGGCAAGAAAAGAAGTGCAATGCTTTTATTTCAAAAAGCTGACTCTCTATTTACCAATTAAAAAATATGATCCTTATAAAACACTTGCATTATAATGCTTTTATTTCAAAAAGCTGACTCTCTTTTTACCAATTAAAAAATATGATCCTAATAAAACACTTGCATTATAATTATGTCCGTATCCAAGAACCTAAGAGTCAAAATAGATCTTTTTTTATAATTGTATATTGGTTATCCGTTTTTCGCAGCTGAGTTGAACTATGATTTTCAATATCTTTATGATATTTACTTTTAGATTTCCTATGCGAATAGTAGGGAGCCAAATATGACGAAACTGCTGCATTAATTCATTCTTGATCATGTTGATATCTCACGTTTTAAGTTTTTGTCGCGCCTCGACGAAGTTGTGGATGCGATACTTAGGTGTACTGTTTCCGGTGGTGGCAGCGAGGTTGAAAGCGTCAACAACTTGTAAAAGTTTGTGATTAGCTCAGTTAAGATAAGATAAGACTGCAATATTCTTATTTGGCATTACTCTTATGAATTGTCGGTTTTAATGCTATTCAACTTCGTATTTGATTTGGCCTTCCGACTGTTTTGATTCGAGCGTTACTGATTAGTCTTGGGTACAAATTAAAAACTTGGTATCTTTGATGACATTTGTTAAAAGACAACCTCTTATAGTAAGTCAAACTTGAATACAGGCATTACATATATCTGTGTCAAAAGTATTATACGATGTCTAACCTTAACTGTGGGAATGGAGCATGATCATAATAGAAAGGAAGGGAGAGTTCTAGTACATTTAAATTCAGGATACAAACAAAAACTGCTTCTAAGAAGCTTCTTAACCAAGGGTTCCAGTTGGTAAAGTTGAAGTCATCCCTTAGAAATTTTCATGGACGCCACCATGACTTGAATGACTGTTATGGACTTCCTGTGTCACAGTTGGCCATGAATATGTTCAAATTGCGTAACCAAGGCACAATCCAGTCCTTTTTTTCTCGATTTTTACATCAACGAATTGTACTTATCATGGGAACCACTACGGGTGCGACAAATTGAGCACGATCTGCTTACCCTCCTGGAGAACCTGAGATCTACCGAGGGTTTTGATGGGGTAAGTGTTGCTCAGTCTTCAGTTTTCTATGAAGCGTTTTGTAGACTGTTATTTGTTTTTTGTCATTTTACGTTTTCGGCATGTTGTTGTAGGCTTTACCTAATTAATTTTGATTATCCCTTTGGTATTCTCAGCCTTTTGTGAGAAGAAACAAAACCCATAACTAAAGAGCCTTACCTTAAATTTGTTTCTTGTTTTCTGCACTGGTCATGTAGTTTCTTTATTAAATGTAATTATATGCGACTAATTGTAACCTTATAGTGTAGGTAATTATAAAATTAAAAAGATGTGGTATGATTGCCAATGAGACAGCTCTCCACCAGAAACCAAATGACATAGAATTTAACAACTATAGGTCACCGTACGGTCTTCAACAATGACCAAAACCCATACCGCATATATAACATTCATATTTAGTTTAACCGTTTATGATACATGCATGCCATCATAATGGTGTACTTCATTTTATATTATGGTACTGCATCTGTGAATCCTTAACTATTGTATTTGTATTTATAATGTACTTTCTCTGTTAACTTTTATTCAGTTTTTATAGAATACAGTATATATCTATCTATCTATTGTAGTCATCTCATTATAGATACCAGGCTTACAATTGACATAGTTTATCAAGAAGTTATTATCCTGACCATGCTTCAGTAATTGTGCAGATTCCTTTACGCTATATCCAATATTCTTGCTATATTTGAACCTGTATTTTGTTGGGTCTTTTTACAGGAATGATAGAGTAAAATGCTTCATTACTTCTTTGTTACACTTGTAATTCAACTAAACAAGTTTAAACATAGCGAGATAGTTGAGTGCTCAAAAACTTCTTTAATCCCTCTATATGTTAATTTGTGCCAGGCAATGGGTTAAACGCGAGAAAGAGGACATATTATACTCTTTCCGAATGGATTAAGGTTGTGAGATTGTTGATACAAATCAAAATTAAGAAACTGAATAGGTCTATGACTACCCATGCTACATCAATCTTTAAAGACCCAAATGTTGCAAAAGACTTGTCCTACCTCCATGACAAATATGTTGTTGTCCCCGCAGATAAAGCTCCAAACAACATCGTTTTTGTGTGTAAATTACATGACATAAACTGCTTGATAAATGAATTAGGTATTGACAATTCACTTGGAAACTCAACATATACCCCACGACACTTACCAAAGAGGACATCCTGGATACTCATAGGTCTGTTCTATGTTCCTGTGGAATTTCAACCAAAGATGAAGAACTGGATCTTCTATCACTGTATTGGAAACAAAAACTACATAAGTGTCCGTACAAACAACGTTATATTGCTGGGTCTTCCAATTGCTCCACTAAATCTCTTTCTAAAGTATTTACATCAATTCTATCAGCAACCAAAGCCGGGCTTCAAAATTATTGTTAAACTACCTATTTTAGAGGTGGGGTGAATCAGATGTGGATACTAAAAAATCCCAAAGATCTTTTAGAGTACATACAATCTAAGACTCCTTCATCTTGCAATAGTATTAAAACATTTGACTTTTCTACACTTTACACAAGTATTCCCCATTCCAAACTAAGAGACAAATTGAACGAGTTGGTTCTGCTTTGTTTCATAAATAAGAACTGCCAGCGTAGATACAAGTATCTTGTCTTAGGGAGGAAAATAACTCTGATTTAAACAAAAAATTCTCTGAATATGACGTTATCAAGATTCTTGATTTCTTGATTGACAACATATTTTTAACGTTTGGAGGACGATTTTTCCAACAAAAAATCGGCATTCCCATGGAAACCAACTGTGCCCCTTTTCTTGCCGACTTGTTTCTGTATTCGTATGAATCTGACTTCATACAGGAACTTCATAGGAAGAAAGAAAAAAAGTAAGCAGTATCCTTTTACTTTACGTTCCGCTATATAAATGATTTTCTCTCACTAAATAATTCAAAATGTGGTGTTTATGTAGAACGCATCTATTCTATCGAACTTGAGACTAAGAATACAACAGATACAGTTAATTCTGCGTCATATCTAGACTTACATCTACAAATTGACAATAAGGGTCAGTTGAAAATAAAACTTTACGACAAAAGAGATGATTTCAGCTTCCCAATTGTGAACTTTCCATTTCTATGTAGCAACATTCCAGCAGCGCCTGCATACGGAGTATATATCTCCCAGTTGATACGAAATTCCAGGGCTTGTATTTCCTATCATGATTTCCTTGATAGAGGGTTGTTGTCACAAGGAAGCT